CATTTCAATATTCTAGGCATTGAAAACGGTTTTGTAGCTCGAGTTGAAACATTTCAGGAATCTGGATTAGAGCACGAGGGAGGCGGATTTCATTAGACGAGACCTCTCCAACTTAACGTTTAGGTTCAGTCTGCCTCTAATTCGGTGATCACTACCAGTTTTCACCATCGTAATCACAGAGACATCATTGAACAGTTGTCGTCTGGTCGTCATAATAAAGTCAATCTCATTTTTTTTCGAACCGTCAGGTCTCAACCAGATCTGCTTCCTCTGTGGCCGCTTCTAGAAGAAAGAATTCATCATAAAGAGTCCCTCCTTCTTCATGAAGTTGGCCAGCTGCTGGCCCCTTGGGTTCGTCGACACACTCTCATTCTTTACAACGTTATTAACGAGAGACTTGTGAACGATAAATCAGACACCTCCTTGGGATAGATGGTCGGCCTCCCGGTGATAGAACAAGTTGCCGGATTCGAGGTTTAACGTGTCGTCCCCCTTTCTCCGGACCTTAGATAATCCTATAATATTTCAGCGCAACTTGTCTATCTCTACTTCCAGCCCCAAAATCTTTTCCTCAGTCCTCATTGTGCGTGCGTTATATGTTGCCAGGTCGATACGTCTTAGATGGCAACTAAACCTCCACCGGAGATTCTTAGCACCCCTGCCCCGCCGTTACCATGGTCGCCTAGGTACACTAGGGCCGTCTCTTTTTAACTTTCATCATATACCCCATATTGCCATAGTTGCCACGCTTGGCGAGCAGGTTTGCAACTGCAGTTTTTTATTGTTATTTTGCTGTTATCAGAAAGATGTTGCTGCCCTTATTCTGCTTCAGTTTCCCTTTGTCGCCTCTTACGGCACCCACGGGAAGATATGGGGTACTGAGTATTCTTACCCGCCACTATATGGGGTGAAAACTTAAGTTATGAGGGTTCAAAAATGCTTCGTTTTGGTTTAGTTGGCTACCATGCCAAATTTTATCGCCGATTCCTTTGATTTCAAATTGACTATTTTTGTTCTTTGCTATCTACTTTATTACTTCCGTTTAAAGTTACAGTCTTTTATTAGTCGTAGAGCTCTATGTCTCATTTCTGACAAGGTAATTATTTCGTGGCGCTGCGTTGCTATAATGCGTGTTGGCGGTTTTGTCAAGTACTTGAATTTATTATCTCGAGTGGTTTTCCTTCATCGCCGAACACGTGTTAAATAAGCACTTAAAATTAAAAATTTCATTTGTGCCGGCGCCTAGAACTCGGGTTGCTCGCGTTTAGTGAATTTTACAGCGTATTTCTTCTGTGTGAAGTTGAATTAATTTTTTTCTATAGATTAAATATGTTTAACATACATTTTAATAATTTTTTAATGTATTACACTTATAATATATTATTGTCGTGTAGTGGCAGCATGAGAGTACCGAATACACGTGTATTAACATGTGTAATCGCTGGCACAACAGAGGAGATGTGGTTATATTCGTGGTTGTAACTAAGAATAATAAAAACTGTGTTTATCAACTCTACTAAAAAGCATGGCAAGTATAGCAAATGTCTTCCCCATTAAGCATTCTATGTGGCAAGGTATGGTTCAGCAGTGGACTTTTGATACACTGTTATGGACATCTAAATATTAATTTAGGTAAATTACACATGTGCAAACATCCACACTTAGGAAAATTATTTATCTACACGCAACAACAATGCGTGTTACTTGTGGAATCAGAACTACGTAGCACGCGTAGCGTTTCCGTCCATAGGCTTAACTCAAGGTGCAGTATAATATGTGAGGATGTCAAAGTGTCTAAGTAGTTAAATAATGTTTCACAGAAGAGCTTTATCTCTCTCCAAAGTTTTCGATATCATTTAATCAGGTCTCTTACATCAAGAACAATATTTTGACAAAAATGTGACTTGTTTTATAAGAATAATACGTTACTTTTATTAACCTTATACTTTATGACCGAAAAAGTATTTATTGCGAAATTTACGACTTTTAGAAGTTTTATGTGTTTGTTGTCACTGTTGGGTTCAAACGTTATTCTTTTTTTTTTGTAATCTGTCATTGTTTATTAGAAAAATTTTAGTTATATTGTAGGTACAAAAATATTAATTGTAACCTGTTTAAAAATATACATATTGTGTTCGTATATAAATGGTTTCAAATTGTTAGGATTAATGAAGAAATTGCTATTGTATATGTCCTGAAAACAATGTAATAATTGTTGAAAACATTTATTAATAAATGCAAAAGTAAGAAAAAAAAGTTTTCCTAAGTAATAAATTAATTATTTTATAATTATCTCTAAGAAAGAAACAGGATAGAATTACATGTATTTGCTTTGTCAACCTTAATATTTTAGTTAAGTTCAAGGAAAAACATCTCGATATTATGTGCTCGAAGAACTGACAACCGATGGGGAAGAAAGGTTCTAGAGTGATTTGGTAAGACATGCAGAATGTCGATGTCGATAAATATACCTCTGATTTAGAATGATTTAGGACCTCATTTAGTGACATTCCTTGAAGGCGAACTTTACTCAACAGTGGACTTGTAAAGAGCTATAATGATGGTAGTGATGACGACTGTCAATAAATGCAAATTATGATAAACAAATAAAAAAGCTGAGACTTAAATTAATTTTTGCATACTATTTCTTCATGAACAAAATCGTCTACATTCTGATTATATACTGTTCTAGAACTTAGAATAATAACACCTAGAAGCCGAGTCCGCGTCCGTAATGTTAAGCAACTCATACTAAGCCAGTATGGCTTAGTTCAATACTTGTCCCGTTAGTGCTCAAAGTCGTGTGGTGTTGACAACAGCTCCCGAAATTTTAATTAAAAATGACGTTTTATGCAGTGAACGGATGTCAGTACATCAGAGAAACACAAGAAACATAGTGTTGGCAACCAACATCGTCCGCCACTCTTCGTGCACAACGGAAGAGAAGTGGAAAGGGAAATGTGAATATATTGTAATATTGAGTGCTTTGTACAAATATTAATTGAATACATATATTGTGTCATAAGTGCATATTTATTTATAACAAATTATTTAATTGTGTTAACAATAGTAATATTACATTTCACGAGTAACTAATGCTTTTGAACTTATATTTTTACGTAAAACATTCATCAAAAATAAATATGAATTTTTAAAAACTGACATATAACATTACATGGAAATGTTGCCAAAGTGAAAGAAAAATTCTCACACCTTTTTTTTAATTAAATCTAAAACACGTCAATAGGAATGAGGGCATCCACGACTTTTTCTGCTACCAGGGCGGCGCCACTTTACAGTGAGGTAAAATATTTGACAGATTTCATGATATAGCGGGGATAATAATTTTTTAAGAACATGTAATATTTAAGGTTTCGTTCTGTATTATTAGTTATATTTTATATTAATTAAATTAAAAATGAATAAACCAAACTATAAAATATAACTAAAAGCCGATTTTTTTAAAAAGAGTTATAAATTGCAAAAAATTAAAAAATCAAACCTCTGACGCATTGTTTTATGTAATAATATAATATTTTAGATAATGATAAACTATTATTTAAAACTAATTTCTTAATTAACTGACACTATGTTACAAAAAACTTTACCTCGGTCACAACTAGCGACATCTGGTGAGTGGAAGATTATTAGCCCTCATTAAATAGAGTGCGTAACGCAACTTGACAATTTATTACTACGAGGGCTGCCAACATTGAAAAAATGCAAGGCATTGTTTTGATTTATCGACGGTTCCGTGGCGCAGTGGTTTATCAATGAGTTGTTGCGCTGGGGGCCGCGGGTTCGAATCCCGCACGGAACAAGTATTTATATGCCTTACAAATCATTGTTTCGGGTCTGGATGTTTGTCCTCGTGCAATTTATGTTTGTAAGCTGCATCCACGATACAGGAGAAAATCCTAGTTTGGGGGTAACGTTTTTTAAAAAAAATTAAAAATATGGATGATGAATTTTAAGGAAACTTTTTATATGGTCTGATAATAAATGCATGTTTGGTTTTCGTTTTATATTTCTTTCTGATCCGATCATTGTGGCTTGTGAGACAGAAAACATCAGACACAATCGAAACGAAAGCAGTTGGAAGCCCACTAAAATACAAAAATTTGTTCTTTACATTTTTGTATAGGATACGGTGACATACGAACACACGGTCCACCTGATGGCAAGTGGATGCTGTGACCCATATACATCTACAACTATCCTCAATAAAGAGATGCGTTGTCATCCGTGAGGACTGTGTAAAATCTTCCAAAATTAAAATTTTCTAGTGTTTTTCGTATTGTAGCTTACATTATGCATGCAGTGAGGTGCGGTACACCATTACTCGATGATTATTAAAAAAATTCATTTTTATCGGCCCGTAAAAATACATTATTGGACACGAACCTATCTCCATGCAGTTTTATCCTAATCGCCGTAATTGAAATTCGCAGTATAATAAGACGTAGGTACGTTCCCTTGACGCTCGTCTCAGTCTTGGTATTCACATTTGGTGTCAACGTAATATTTATACATGAATCTATTGAATACCATAACATAGGACTTTCTAGGTAGGTCTTATAACACCCAAGAGACAATAATATTGGTCATGAGGTAGATCATTGTATTTTGCAAGTGAATTCAATATACGTTCTATAAGGTTATTTTACTAAACAAACAATTTTTTTTTGAAAATTTAAGAAATTAAAATTTTTTAAAAATAAATACTGATTAGACGTTACCACCGCACGACGGTACGATTTCGATTAGAAACTTCGTTCCAAAACATAAGATTAATATTTCTACGATCCAGTACTGCGAGTATTATTCACACATTACAATGAAAAACTTAAAATCTATGCTGTAAAATTTTGCTTAATTTTGTATTCAATTCAAATTAAATTGTGAATTTGGTTGCCTTAATATTATGATAATTGAAAATGAACATTTTTTTACGAATTTTATTTAATCTCTATTGTCTCTTTTATCTCCTTTGCTGTATTCTAATTATTTGCATTTATATCTTTTTCTTGCATCTGCGTAAATAATGTGTAGAAGCTATATGTTCTCGTCATAATCTGAAACAAAATAAGACTATAGTATCATTCAAATAAAAAGAAAACTATCTGAAATATGTTACTAGAACAATTATGTTACTACTGCTTAATCCAACTAATAACCAAAGTCAACAATAGTTTCACTTACGTCAACAAACGTTTGCACAGATAGAGCTGTGAATGGCCCGGCATTCATTACGAGCGGTCGGGCCAATTTCCCTGCTAATAGTACCAGTTGTTTACGTTCCTGCAAATTTGCTTTCCACCAATTGCTTTCATATACGCCACGGTCTGTTCTATCACTCTGGAATGTGTAAAGGTTTAAATTACAAAAATACTACCCTAAGCTTTGCTATTATTTTCCTTTCGATTTCATTATACTTACTTAATAACTTAATATAAAATAATAATTTGTCGAATATTTCTTTACCATGTGCTCGGCAGTTAAAGAAAACATCGTGAGAAAACCTTGTCTGAGAAATATAAAAAATATTTCGAAGACATGTGAAGTCCACTAACACGCATTGGGGCATCGCGCCGGACACTTTCTTGCCCTAAAACCCTCTCAGAAATGAAAGGAGGACTGTTGCCAACAGTGGGACGTATATTGACTGTATTTTTCACTTTTTAACTATTATATTTCTTTAGTTGGTTTTTTGTTAAATTAAACAAGTCTTCCAGTCCATCCATCATACGGGCACCCAGTAATATATCTACGCTCGATTTACAATCAAAACTCAGCAGCATTAAGCTAATATTTCTCCGATATTCCAGAAGAGCGTGGTGTATTTCTTGTCGAGCCGACCCATTTGTGCGACAACCATGATATAGCTGCAGCTTGGCACTACCTTGTAAGAAAACAACACGTGGTAGAGCCACACTGTAGCATCAATAGAATTTAAAAAATATTAAAACGACTAAATTGAAGCCGAGGTACAGCTACCCCTGCTGGTGTCCAGATCTAGGACGTATGTAAGCTAACTTAACATTTTTATTTTAAAAGCCTACACTGATATAGACCTTGTTTGATGTCTTAACTGATATTAAATATTCTAGTAAGTATCTATTTAAAATTTATGGACAGCAAAATTAGTACAAAATAAATACATACTTAATTTAATAAAACATGATGTTTATCTGGAATTCTTGGACTAAATGGAAAATATCGATTGATGTGATAATACAGATGTATTATTTTTATTATTATATACAGTACAATTTTTTAGAAATTAAGATTCACAGCTAAAGTGAGATATTATGTTATATTTTTTATTTCATTATATCATCTCCAATGACAAGAATTCTTCGTGAAAATTCCTATAGCACGTATACCTTAGTTTAATTAAATGTGTACGCAAAAGTACAAATTTAGAACACACTAAGCTATTGCTAAAAAAAGCTATGAAAAATTTGGCTTTAAAATATAATTAATAGAATCAGGCGTTACTTTGCGGAAATCCATTATATAAAAGCTTTATAATTAATAGAATCAGGCGTTACTTTTATAACGCGGATATTTGCGAAGTAAATTTTTGTAAAAGCTTTGGCTGTAAAACTTGGCTGGATGAAATATTATTTTAACAGATAACATTATTAATTATTATCGTTTTAATTTTAGTACATAAGATCTTTTTTTTTCTAATATTATGCATTATTCATATTTAATTTTTCCTTGAAGTGGAAAATCTTGAACCAAATTTTTAACAAGCACATTTAGTTATTGAGGAGGGAAGAAAAGCTTGTAAAACATTGAATTATATGCAGGTGGTGGTTATATTAGATGAAGTACTTGAGTTAAAAATAAATGCTATATAATTAAACGTTTAGTACCTATTAGAAAATAATTTTAAAAAATAAAGAAATAAGTTAATAGGTTTTGAAGTCGGTGCTTAGATATAGTATATCGAATAATGCACTTGTCATATGCTTTAGATAATATAAAGACAACAATGTCGTATAAATGGTTACATTAGTTTCTTCATTCCCAGGGTCGCGTCAGCCGTCTTCGATAATCGATAAATTGGACAACAAACATAAAAAAAACGTACGCATCAAATTTAACGTACGTTTTTTGAACTCGACTACCAATTTCTTTGTAAATATACTATAAATATACTAATATACAGGGTTATTTTGGAATAACCGGAAAAATTTAGAAAGAAAGAAAGAAAGAAAGAAGAAAGAAAGAAAGGTTTATTCTCCAAAATGACGCCATCACAGATAACATAAAAAAGAAACACATAATTTACAAATAATATTGGCTATACAATACAAATTACAATATACTACATATTACAAACTATACAATACCAATACTCATATGTGTCAAGGCGTCATCTGGGAACAGGAGCACACTCAGCATAATGCCATGAATTTTAATAGAATAAGAATAATTTGCAGATAAGGTTCAGAATAAGAAACATAGGCATAAGGTGACGAAAAATTAACTATAAACATCTCAAATATTCTGTAATTTTTATCTTTTAAATAGCAAATTCGTGGTAATGCATTAAATTAACTAATTTTCATTCATAAATATCTGATGCCTTATTTTTTTACGCACGTACATATTCTTAATGGTCACTCAATAAGGTACCTTGTCGGTTGTCTTTCTGCGCCCACCCCTTTTATTTACCGTTACACCGTTAAGTACTTACGTTGCTCGCCCGGCCGACAGCTGACAGTGTTGGGCGTGACCTCATTACCTACGCTTCGTTACCAATGACGTAACAAAAATATTTGAACCGCGGATAATATGAAAGCATGAAATTGTGCAATATTAAATTGTAAGCAATGAAAGTTATGTGGTGTGCAAATATACTAATTATATATTCCAATTGTAGGGCAGTCGGTGATTAAGTCGTTGATAAGCAAAAATAAATTTTCAACTATATTTGTTAGTACGATCCCAAGCCCGTTAAAAGTGTAAAAGGAAAATTAAATCATAATTGGTATCATGTCGTTATTATCTTAAGCATTAGTAGTAAGCGTGCTTTAAGAAAGTAAACAATAGGCAAAAAATTGAGAAACGGAAACTTAAATTAAATCACACATATAGAAGAGCGCGTGTAGGAATAGTTGTTGCCCAATAAAAGTAGATGCCTTATATACTCGTATTTTCAAATAATGTAATATCGGTATATAATAATTTATTTATATGAACTTCAATATAAAATTTGGCTACTCTTTGAAAAATAACAATAAATACTCGTATATTTGTAATCATAAAACCATTCCAGGAAGTGTTTACCTCCACAGTCATCTCATTACTATGCCAACAAAATAAAAATAGTTGTATAGCAAGAGCCGAGGAGTACTCAAGTACCCAAAGTTTCTGAGTTGTTGACACACTTTCCTGTAAAAATTAATTTTGTTATATCAATACTCTATACAAATTATATTTTGTAGTAAGGGCGACAAAAGACCTCATAGTCCACCTGATGGTTAGTGGCTAGTGTCATTCATATACACATTTTCATCTATCCTTTATTTTATGAAAAAAATATATTATGAACCAAAATATAGCGTAGGACCCTGTGGGGTCTAAGATGAATTGTCTCGTCACTAGCAGAAGTATTTCTGATTTTCGATGGGACTATAATGTTAACAAAATTTACAAAAAGTGCTGAAATTAAGAATTTAAAAATGTGAACCTAATACTCGTATTGCAAGACCTCTTTGATTCTCTTTTCGTTTCCATTACCTTCACTTAAATTTACTTTTTCCTAGCGACCATAAATACTTGATTCGATGACAGTAATCGTATTTCAAAAATTATTTTATACCCACTCAAATGTGTCACTGTACACTGTGTGATTGAATCACACAGTGTACAGTGTTTGTTCAATCACGAATTAATTTGCCGCTAATGAATGAAATCGTCATGTGGTAGAAAATGAATCCACTATCCAATATCTTCTCATAAGTGTTGTAAGAGGCGACACTGAAACTAGACTAGACTAAATTTAAAATTAGGCAGCATCGTCTTTCTAATAACAACTTGAAATGAATCTACCGGAGAGGCTTCTGTCCTACAGTCTACTAACTTTAAGCACAACGTAAATATATGAAAAGATTATTCATGACTCCCGTGTTCCGTTACAGCCTATTGAAGTCCATTAATGAACATAGCCCTCCCCGTAGATTGCCTCATAGGGGAGATTTTTGCCATAGTGGCCACGCTTAGCAAGCGGGTTGGCAACCGTAGTTTTTTACTTTTAGTCTTTATTAGTAAGACGGCCATCTTCTGATTTGTTTCCCTGTTGCTTCTTACGACACCCACGGGATGATATGTGGTAGCGGATATTCTTACACCGTCACTACATGATACTCATGACTTATTAAAACTAAAAGTTTTCTACCCTAATTTATGTTCACTTTTTTTTGTTATTATTTTGTTCTGTGTGACTTATTTAAAATTGTATAATGTACTCATGTAAGTGACATGTATTTGTCTTAATGAGTAAATAAAGATCTTTAAACCGAAAAGCTTTTTACGTTAAGTTAAAAATAAAACTCATTATCGACTGCCTCTGTAGTCAAGTATTCGTAAGTGCGACTTCTGATCATGTGTCGAGCTAAAGTCCAGTCCGGAGAAGAGAAATTGACAGTATTTCACCCCTGTGTCTCGAATAGTACGTCGTTGGTTCTGCGCCTGCTTCGGCCTCTTTGGCGTTGTGGGGTATTTGTCACATCGGACTTTAAAATAGAGTAACTGTGCTTACGCACACACACGCACACTATAGCACTGTCTTGTGCAAATGAGCTAGTCTTCATTAAGACTGGCTCCGTGACCAAAATTCGGTTTGAGCAACATTATTGTCATTATAAAAAAGTAAATAATTCTTACCAGACTGAGTTGTACTACACTGCAACAGATGGTGATAGAACAAACAAGTACATATATGAACATAACAGGCGAGATAATTTTGTCGAATGCTGAACATTGTCTGTGAAAACAAAATGATTTAATGCAAATATATTATTGATTGCACTTGTACTTACTCATTTTCGTTTATTCAGTTTGTCTTAATTACGGTATCAATTGCAAATTACATGAAACAAATATAGATACCGTTCTTTAACTGGAGCATTATAATAATATTTTAATATATATATATATATATTCTATAATAATCATAATTACTTAATACTTATTTTTATCTACAATATTAAAAACTATGATAATGGAAAAAAAAAACTAAAACTAGAAACTTAATTATCATATAGTCCTACTCCCCGCGGTATCGTGCCAAGAACGCTTACTGCGTTTCCCCGCTGAATGGCTATACTTAGCCTTTGAGCGAGGAAAAAACCAGCCCTCTTATCACCAGCAGCAACGACCAGCCGCGGATGGAGTTCCTTTAGGAATTTCATCGCACGTGGACCCCACGGACCGATAGTCTTTACAGCAAATGGCACAAATATGTAGTCATCTCTTGGAGACTCATATTTGCGCCACTTAATCAGTTCAGCTGCCTCTGATGCCGCCCCGGCTTTAAACGAGGTACCCCTGAGATGAGAGGCCGCCAGAGTATCTACGCAAGTAGCATCCCACACTAGGGCTTTACCTCTCTCCCAAGGGCCCAATGTCATACCGTCGGGTCTCTTGCCATCGTCTCTAAATATTCCACAAGGCTCTAAAACCGAGGGAACATTTATAGAGGCAAGAGCCCTTCGGAAGACATCGTTCAAAGAACTGTGTCGTGAAAACCTACCAGCGCTTTTCTTACATGAAAGTCCGTGGAGCCCAAACTTGTCGACGCTGCTACCACAGGGGCACTGATGGGGTTGACAAATCGCCGCTCCTAGTCGGATTCCTACGGCAATGCGCAAGCTTTCCCTATCAAGTAATGTGCCGAGATTACTTGATGGTAATGCGTGTAACCAGTGACTAGATTCCTTAGTCGAAATAGCTAGAAGACGTGCCTTATCTTGGTCACTATGGAAATTATGAAACAAATCCTTCTGAACGCCCTGTACCAACGCAATATCCCACTGTTTTTGTTGGTTAACTTCAAGTGGAACATTTTCACCAGGACAGAGCGTTTGCCATGTCTGCCCTTCCTCCGTAGCAAAGCATAGGTCTACTTTATTATTTAAAATTATGTTACATAAGTCACTGACACTATGCACGGAAGCAAGGAAAGCAGGCAATGCAATGATAGAAAGATTTCTCACACCAATGCCACCAAATTTTATAGGTAAAGTAGCTTGAGTCCAGGCTGTTGTATTTAAAGTTAAATTTAGAATTTTTTCTATAGCTATTTTAAGATTATTATCAATATCTTGTAAAATATCCGAACATTTCCAGACTGGACTCGAGCGGAGTAAGTATGTAAATCTAGGTACAAGAAGACAATATTTTAAAATAGTAAGAGCTATGTGGGGGTTTAATTTATACAATTTATCAACATGGTTAAAAAACTGATTAAATTTTGTTTTTAAAACAGGTTTAATACTATCGAAAAACAACGGGGCACCTAGCAGGTATAGTGATTCTGTACTGACAGTTTTTATTCCTGGACAAATATGATTAAAATTTTGAATTAAAGTGTCTCTATGAGAAGTAGATAAATTATTGGAAAAAAATAGTTCACCTTTATTGCTATTTGGTTCAAGGCCAATATTTTTAAAATTTCGAAAAATATGAATAAGATCGCTGAGGACGTCATCTGCTCTACCTCCCAGTGTACCGTCGTCTAGGTACCAGACATTCAGCTTGGATTTCAAATTTGAAATAATGGGTTGAATTCCCAAACTGAAAAGTGCTGGACCCAGTGGGTCACCCTGCTGAACACCGACAGCAGAATTGATAACATGGTTTTCGTAAAACAAGTTAGTATTTTGACTATAACATTGCCAAACGTAATGATAAATTTCGGGGGTATTGTTAGCCACTTCTTTCAGCAAGGTTACCCTATCGATAGAGTTAAAAGCATTCCTTAGGTCAACCTTCCCAAGAACATCTGCATCAGAGTTTGTTAAAAATGTACGCACTGAATGTACCGCCACCTCACTGCCACCTCTAGTGCCAAAACCTAGTTGAGTAGGCTGAAATTTGATCTTAAGGTTAGAGATTATGTGCCTGCAAGCTAATTTTGAAGTTAAGCGTCGAAATGTGGAACCAATGGCAATAGGACGGATACCGTTATCCTTTTTTTTTGAAGGCACATAATCTTGCCCCATATAAGAATGAAAGAATTTTGTTTTTTTTTTTAATTATGTTGCGTATTGAAAATGTAGGATGATTAAGCACAATAATTTTGATGGTTCATTTCATATAAAAGGTCGGGAAAAGATTTTTCGTACTTTGTTTGTATAAAATTGAAGAAAATCTCTTTGGTTTGTTTGTAGGCATTTCCTCGCAATTGTGTAAGTAAAGACTTTTTCCGATAAGTTGACCCTGTATAAGATATGGCATGTGATCAGAATCGAAAGTAAGTTAAGTGTTGTGCAAACAAAAAACAAAATAATGATTAATCACTCCGCAGGTTTCCTACAATAGAAGAAGAAAAACTTATTACAATATTGTGGTAAATCTTTAAGCATTTTGAATTTATTGATCATTATCTCTAGGGATTATCACTATATTGACGCTAATTACTGTTTCAGATCATGTATTTGGGCTGAGTTAAGTTTTCACTATGAGAATTTTGGTGATTTATAACGTTAATGTTCTGTGATGAATAACTCTCACAATAACGTATGTTATATATCAATATTACGCGTAGAAATATTAATGCAAAAGCAATGAAAAACATAATTAATAATATATAGTATATAAAACAATCTGTTTTCCAAAAAAATTACATAACTTTTCTAAAGTAAATTCGAGTTATTTTGATGCAACCTCTCAAATTTATGGGAATTCATCCAATAGGTTTGTGAGGCTTGAGCCAAAACGACTCGAATTTACAGAATACGAAGGTTTGATATTCTCGCCTAAAAAATTTTATATGGGCGTTCACCGCGGCGCCTGTAAAGTACGTGTATAGTATAAACACGCGTTTCCTTTTTTTATTATGAAGTTGGCGTTTTTCCCTCGGCAGAGAGTATTTGTGTTGTGTTCTGAAGTTTTATCACAAAACAAAGGAAAAAATGCGTTTCAAGCCGCGATAAAAATTTGCAACATTTATGGACCCAATGCAGTATCAGTAAGAGCAGCAAAAGTTGGTTCAAGCGTTTTCAGTCCAAGAATGTTGATTTCAAAGATGCAGCTCGTTCTGATCGCCCCATACCGATAAATTTTGATACCATTTTTGAAAAAGTGGAGCAAGATCGGCATATAAGTAGTTAAAACATAGCTTATGAATTGAGGATTGATTACAAAATAGTTTCCACTCATTTGTAAAAATCTAGCCATACAAAAAAGTTCAATATTTGGGTACCACACGAGCTCACCGAAAGAAACGTAACGAATCGTGTACTCATTTGCGATTCTCTATTGAAACGTAATGAATCTAAAGTATTTTTGAAAAGATCACTGGTGATGAAAAGTGGATCACTTATAATAAGAACGTGCGAAAAAGATCATTGTCAAAGTATAGTTAAGCTCTACAGACTGTAGCGGAACCCGGATAAATAAGCAATAAGGTGATGTTGTGTGAATGGTGGGATTGGAAGGGCATCGTTTATTATGAGCTTTTACCGCCGGGCAAAACCATCGATTCGAATCTCTACTGCCAACAAATAATGAGATTCAGGCAAGACATTGAGGAAAAATGTCCAGAATTGATCAACAGAAAAGGAGTAGTTCATCATGATAACGCCAGACAACACATATCTTTGGACGCGCAGCAAAATTTAGAGAGCTTGGTTGGAAAGTCTTAATGCATCCATGGTGGATAGTCCTGACTGAGTCTCTTTAGAATCGGGTAGTTTTAACATCAAGAGAGAACAATCAAAACTGCTTGTCGCATTTTTTTAATAAAAAATCCCAAGATTTCTACAGCAACGGGATTATGTCACTACCTACAAGATGACAACAAGTTATCGAACCAAATGGCACATATACATATATTATATTTAAATGTAATTAAACTTCGAAAAAACTGTCTTGAATTTGTATGTAAAATACAAAGAAACTTTTTCCCCGATCTAATATTTAAGTTAAAAAACTACTAGGGTGATAATATTGTTATAATTTTAAACTAAGTTTAAGATTAGGAACTACAATTACGTACTTTAATAAGAAATTGTGATGCCTGTGACATTCTTTGATTCTTGCTTGAACTTCTATCTTAGTCAGAATAACTTCGTCGCCGCCGAAAATTCGTCGACATTTTTCGCGTAAAATTATAAATTGACCCTTTAGATAAGTCATTATTGCGAACGCATTGGCATCGTATACAGCAATCACGCCGGCCCCTTGTGTGATCATTATAACGTGTATTGCAGTTGCAAATATATATCCGGGCATTTTTAAGTTGTTGAAGGGAAACCACGAACTTAAAATTTGTGGGTACGGCTCTGTATCGTTTTTTATATCTTCTCGGTAGGATGAAGTAGACAGATACTTTAATAATGGTGAGAGAATGGTTACAATGTTTGTTATTAACACAACTGTCCAGTACAAATTTGTTATGAACCTTACGTATTTCGTATAATTTTTCATTAATTTCATCACAAAATTTTGTTGTTCCTTAATAGCAGCAATTTCTTCTTTAGATATTGCCTTTATGAGACTTACTAAACGAGATTGTAATACAAGGCAAGATATCGTTTTACAAATTGAAACAAAACTTAAAACTGTTATAGACATATTTAAAAGCGCTTTATCAAAATCATTTCTCGTAAAATATAAATCAACTAGTTGAGTTATAACGAAAATCATAGAACTAACGTGAATCAAATTCAAAAAAAATATTCGATACTTATTTCCTTCCCAATATATTTGTTGCAGTAGTCCAAATGTAAAGAGGCCTTTCAAATTTGGCCCCAAGAGTGGATACTGGGAATCTTCAAAATTTTGAGGGGCTGTAAAAATAATACTTATTCCCATATTCGGATTTAATATTTACACAGACACGAGATTATCTAGTTTGTGAGAAAAGAAGATTGACAAAGTACCTAGTCGAATGGAAACAGCCAGCGTTTTAACCGTATAAATGATTTATAAATTAAACAATTGAAATGCACGGAACGTATAATTTAAAAATAATAAAACGTTGTTCAGCAAAGAGTAAAAAAAGGGAAGTAGAATTTTTTCAGTCAATTTAACATTTTGAAATCTATGTTTTTTATTGAAGAGTAGGACATTTTTTTCTTCACATTATTATTTTTGAATATATTTATAATATTATTTTGCTCGTGTTCGTCGTTTTCTCAATATTTTGTATGCCAAATAATTAGCATTTAAAATAAAATATTAAAATTGAAAATATTTATACTACAGAAATACATAATATATTGTTAATAAAATTCTCTTACCCTTAGCCCAAAGTTTACGTTTGGCGAAAATATCGCGCAACATACATACAAAAAAAATCAGTCGATTTGAGAACCTCCTCCTTTTTGAAGTCGGCTAACTATATAGAGGAATGAATGAATTACTTTCATGTATCTAACGTGTACCTAACTAGTAACCTTAAGTAAGCTAGATTACATTCAGTTTGAAACAATGTATATAGTTCTTTAGGTCTAGTAGTGCTAAGTAGTTAGTACACGAAGGGTTATTCCGTTTATCCACCCTAAAAATCCACCCTAGGGTCAATACTCGGAAACGCTTGTTCATTTATGTACCCCTGGGGTGGATAGTCGGATTTATTTGTTCTTACAACTTTTATCCCCAAGTACAGTTTAACAAAAACACTTTAACAATTAATTAGATTTTAATAATCACAAACTTAATGAAAAAACATTACAAATTGACGTTATCGTTACCTTTACAACCTATTAAAGTCCATGCATTATGTATTGCATTTAAATGAAATTAAAATTCTTCGTTTGGAATAATATTATTACTTAATTGTTTAATTCTGCAATATGTTCAGGAGTAGACATAAATTGATATCCTGGAAAAATTTGTCACTATTAATGTACATTTGCAATCGTTTTCTAAATTTTTTTGATGTGTTAGCAAAGAACTGGGTGTATTTTTGCAAGCATTCTAAAAACGTTCCTATTGTATGTTTTTTTTAACTTCATTTTAAATTATTTTATGCCGAGATTCCAATGAATCTGTAATCCTGTGAGATACTCATTTTATTTCAGCGTTGACCTTTCAAACAAGAAGTATGTATATATTTTATATGTAATGTCTGCTAAGTATCTTGGGCCAGTTTATATAATTTTTCTATAAATGACTGTACATAGTCGAGGGAGAATATACAAATTCCGACTATCCACTCCGTATGGTGGAGTTTTAGGGTAGACAAACGTAATAATCCGACACGAATAACATTGCCAGTACAATAATTGTTATCTCAACAGGTTAGTTATGTGATGCCATTTTCTTTAAAAATAAAGTAATAATTGAGGAAATCTGAAAAAATAAAAGGCAATATTGATGCAACATACGGTGTATAAAGGTATCAGATTTCAATGAATATTGATCAGCTAGACTAGAAAATAACCTCCTCGACTATAAAATGACTCTTTGAAGAGCTAAGCTTAATAACATAGTTTTGTTTTCACCTTCTGATTGATCGAATTAAAGTTAATTGAAAAAATATGGTGTATGAATTCAAAATTGCACTAACTACCCTTGCAGAGTTAAAATCAAATACTTTTGCTCAGTACAAATAAAAAATAATCGTGTCGATATAAAACAGGGAATAAAATGCTATTTCATTCCATGCTTTACAGCACGATCCTGGCCACCTACATCTATCGACGCCCTGCATGTCTTACCAGGTTCTCACTGCATATAGTGGGGGGCCACCTTACACTTCGCTTACCGATACGAGGCTGTCACTCGATTATTTTTCTTCCCACACGGGTATGAGTGTTGCAGTAGTAAGACCGGCTCATTGCCACTTTAGCTTACTCATACGTTGGGCGAAACTTGGCATATGGCAGAATTTGTTAGAGCAGTTTTTGTTTTAACTTTAATAAGGGGTATTAAAAAAAATTCAAAGCCAATTACTAACAAATTCCAATAATTTTGGCGCGATTTTCGTTCATTTAAATTCTAAAATTTGCATATAACTTTTTCTCAAACGATAAATTTTATGTTTTATTTATACTTTTCCAGAGCAATTAGGTTAATAACAATAATGATTAATATATATATATACACTTCATTTGTTTTTAAATCTTTTAAATTTGAATTTAAAGTTTCCGGAACAATGCTTTTACGTATAGCGGTAAATAAATAAATCATAAATATATAGCATATAGAATAAAGTGGAAGCGTAATTTTTGGCGTAATGCTTAATGAAGAGCCACACTGTTATATATTTTATAGGAAGAGCGAGATGCGTTGCAGATATGCAAATACTATGTATTGTGTAAAATATAGCTTCCGCTAAAAATAATAGTGTTCTGTGCACTCTTGTACGAAATATTAATTGTTTCTCAGAATTTTTCAGGAGCAGCCGTGGCCGTAGCTTGGTGGAACACAAAGAGATTTTGAATTGATGTACCATTGTACATATTTTGTGTGATGCGTCTTAGAAAACTAATAATAAAACTATTAAAAGTGGCAGGAAGAAGGGGAACCTGGAGCGATGACGTTCTTTACGCTCATCGAGAGGCCAGGATTAGGAGCTTGGGGAGGAATGAAGTGCCAAGTTGTATTATTTTTTGCTAATACAGTAGCAATCTCATTGAGCATCGAATCCTGTTCTCTAGAAAATAATTGCTTTAATTCCTTTGATGCTCCAACAAAATTTGTCCCATTATTGTTATTAATATCACTACAGTGGCCGCGGTGAACAACAAATCGCTTAATGGCGGTAAGAAATCCTTCCGTAGTAAAGTCAGAGACAGCCTCAATATGCACTGCTCTTGTCACCATACATACAAATAAGCAAATGTATCCTTTATAACACTTGTTGCCTCGGCCTTTAGACATAACTTAAGTCAATGGGACCTGCATAATCTACACCCAGTAAAGGTATATATGATGTCACTCGACTTGAAGGAAACTGTCCCATTAACTGATTTTGGGTTGTGGCAGAATAACGGATACAAGTTATACAGTTATAAATGAGCGATCTTACCAAATTTTTTACTCTAAAAATCCAAAACATACATCGAATAAAATTTATTGTTAATTGCTGACCTCCGTGCAATGTACTCCCATGTGCATCTTTTACGATAAGTTTAGCTAACTGGCAATTATAATAAATGATAATTAATTTGTTATCATCGGACAGTTTAGCATGATGAATGCTTCTTCCTACTTGCAGAAAGCCTAAATTATCTATGAACGGTTTCAAAGTTATTAAAACACTTTTATAAACCCTTCTTTTTGAAGGCTGAATTTCTTTGCCAAAGGACTCGTTTTGAGATAGGTGCAGAAGCAATTAAAAGATTCATTGATTTCCGATGCTGTTAAGAAAGAATTTTGAGTTATTATTTGTTCACTGGGATTTTTAAATCTTAGGATCTTGTGCAGTTAATATGTGTTATTTAGCAGTCTTTATCCCTTAACAGGTATGCATACTCTTTGGACGTGAGTATTGAATATATTTATCACGTAACCAACTGAGGCCTTCTTTCTAGAGTTTGCTTTCTAAAAGAACTGGTGAAATGTCGCGAGATGCACAATCGGCTGGATTATCTTCAGATTGGAAATAGGAAAACTGATTCAACTCAAGTAAGTGAAAATTTCAGATATCTTTTTGGCCAGAAATATTTTTCAACAACTGGGATGATCACTTAAGCAAGCCAAAACAACGCTGAAATCAGTCCAAGCATGTAAGTTTAATTTTGTAATTTTTAGTGGTTTTGCTACCTTTATTAGTAATTTAGTAACTAAAACTGCTCCACATAGTTCCAAGCGTGGAATAGAAATTTGTTTTATAGGTGCTATTTTGTCTTAGCTGTTACAAGACCTGAATGAACTTTGCCTTTCGCATCATATGTTCTTATAAACACAACAGCAGCGTAAGCGATGTTAGATGCATGCAAAGCTATGTAGTTCCGTATTTATATCATCAGTTCTTCTGTAAAACCACCGTGGCAAGTAAACGTCAACTAATTTTGTTAGTTCATTCCGATAATGCCTCCATCCATTTTGAATATTAATTGGCAATTCCTTATCCCAGTCTAACCCAGCTATTCATAATTTTTGAATAAATACTTTAGATGTAATTATACAAGGAGCTATCCCACCAAGGGGATCACACAGGCGAGATATTCAGAAATAAATTTTCTTTTTGTTTCACGTACATAGGACGATGATGAAGCAATCTTTACACTGTAATCGAACTAATCAGTTTTTCTGATCCAGGTAAGTAATATTCTTTTTCAAATTTCATCAGTTTTTATTTCTAAATTTGTTCCGCCATCCTTTTCTTGGTTCTCTAATATTTTAACATTATTGCTTGACCCCTTCTGCAACTTAAAACATCCCTTGCCTAGTAGTTCATTTATTTTTTCCTAGATCTTTATAGCTTCATATAGCTTTTAGTGCACAGTACATGCGCTTTTATTTGGATTTTAAAATTGGGGTCGTGAAACGACTGAATATTAATAAAAACAACATTCTTAGAATCTGTTTTACTTTGACTACTTCCCACACCAGAAATGGAGCTTCTGGTAGGAGTTTTAGCCAAACGCAATAATTGTACCCTGGATTCAGAAATAAAAGTAGCTTGTAACCCTTGGTCTAGCAAAGCCCTTAAAATTTGAGTTTGCCTATTTTTTGATTTAGCGTTAATTAAGACTGTTGCTGATAAAAATTGTGTTTGAACTTTATCCTTCATAGAATGGGTTGCAATGTTTGTTATTGTATCGTCTTTAGGGGAATCTAAAATGGTATCATTGCTATTATATGTTAATTCCATTGCGACTCCGCATGTCGCTGAGTCAACTTGACTGTTTGGATGCAAT